AACTGCACTAGGTGAGACTGAATGTGAGAAGGACCTAGGTTTGTATGTTGACAATGAGCTGAAGTTCTCGGGCCATTGTGAGAAGAAGGTAAATCAGGCAAATAAATTATTATGTCTTATAAGAAGGTCGTTCAGACATCTAGACGGTCCGTCCCTCATAACGATCTTGAAGAGTGAAGTGCTTCCCCATTTGGAGTACTCTCAACCCGTCTGATCCCCGAGAAAATGTTCAAAGGAGGGCCACCAGACTGGTGCCTGCACTACGACTCCTCAGCTACCCTGAGAGATTGGAGCGCCTGAACTTGTCTAGCTTATACTACAGACGGGCAAGTGGGGACCTAACTGAGGTGAATAAGCATCTCAAGGGGCACTACTCAGTCGAGTGTCCTTACCTGGAGCTGGCAGACGCTCGCCCCACAAGGGGTCACAGCTCAAGGTTGAAGAAGCCACAAGTCCAGAAAACTGTGAGGGGTAACTTTTTCGGAGTGAGAGTTGTGAATTCTTGGAACAATCTACCAGAGTGTTGTGACGGCACCGAGTGTGAGCTGTTTCATGACCAGACTTGACCAACACTGGAGCAGGTTCAGGTACATTCAGGAGCCAGTTCAAGGCCAGTACTTGCCAACAGTGCGTAACGCAGACGTGACCGATCTCCCAAGCAGCTAACGAGTCGTTCAGTGGTGAAGAGGATAAAAGTAAAAAGAAAAAAAAAGAGATTAATCAATAACTGATTCTCCAAACTCTGACTGTCCAATCATGATCTGTTAGGCCTCAATATAAGCCCAACATGACCCTATTGAGAGGGAATACGTTAAGCCGCTCTTCTCCCTACAATCCATCACAGGCATAGTGAACTGGCTGAAGATATATCCACCCAAAACTATGATCACTTTCTTCCTCGTCCACACAAGTATCGTCGAAGTGGACTTATGGTCAGCAGATATAATGTTGTCTCTTTTAGCATTAGGTTAGTATCTGAGGTGGGAGATGGCCTGCACTTCTCTTCCTGTAAACTCAGTAACTGTCCCAATGCTAACTTCCCTCAACACTACTGCCTTGACTGTCCCACTGTCAGGGACCTCCTACCACAGGAAGAGTCACTGACCACTATGTCACCTCCTACTTATACATAATAATTTAGATTTAATTCTTGTATGCTACCCACTCTTTGGTGGTGCTAACTCCCAGTCCTTAAATCATATAAATATTGTCTCCATACCACAAGTTATAGTGTGTTCTGCGTGACACGAGTACCAACGTAATACACTGGCACTCGTGTCTCTCGGGACGCAGTAGGACTTGTAATATGGAGACAATATTGATATGATGTCAATAAATAATATATTATGATTCCAGTTCACTGTATACACAATATAATATACAAGTGACCCAAATTTATACAAAATACTCATCTCTATGAGTTATTGGCAGTCACCTTCAACCCTTGCCATCATGTTGTTTAATAATATTCTATCTAGAATCATTTCCAGCAATAATTACGGTCATAAAACAGTAAATTATCATAAATATTACCTTGGCTCCTCCCCGGGCGTCTTCCAGACCAATCTAACATTTGGCTCTCAACTCAAAATATAAACCAGCCATGGAATCTTCTACTCATTAAATTCCATAAATACAAAACTTATTATTTTAATGCTTCTTTACTCATAATGAATTTTAGGGCAATTACAGCAATATTAATTTAGTACATCCACATACAGTATCTGAAGACCAGCCATTACTGTACACTTGTTCTACAATATTGGGGTTGTAATAAAATATTCAGCAATAGTTTAAATACTTATATCTCATTCTGTAAGATATTAATGTTTGTGGCACATCATGGCCAAACATAAAGTGTATACAGGCAGTCCCCGAGTTGTCACCACTTACCATCACCCTATGAGAGGGCCTGAGCTGCCACCATTTATGAGGGCCTGAGCTGCTACCTTTATGAGGGCCTCTAAAAATAGTAACAATTTTGTAATTTCATACTTATTACTATTGGTAGCATGACGACAGGAGGCTCCTGTGGGTGAGGATAAGCTTGATAGTAACAAATAAATAGGGAAGAAATAACGGTAAATACTGTAGGTAAATACAGACACAATTATACAAATACAAAATTTATTTAAACATGAATATGAAATTTAGAAGAATTTATTTGTACCAACAGACGAAATTTAGTATTAAATTCAGGCTCAACATACTCACACCATTACTGGGTGGATATATTCAATAACACTTCCAACCCTACTGGGTGGACTCTACTCAATAACACAACTATTATAGTCACTTAGCACCATAAAGCATCAGGCAACTGCCACTAGCAACACTCAGTCGTCAGGGGTGACACTACAACAGCCATGGGTCCAGCCACCATGGGAGTACTTTTCCATTTAACTCTGAGATCCCAGTGGATTAATTCCACCACACAAATAGCCCTACTGAGTTAGACATCATCCACCAATGATGGGGGCTGGTAGTGGTGTGTGGCGTAGGATCCGTCACTCGAGACCGGAGCAAGTAGGGCCAGACGAGTGTTATGGGGGCTATAGGTAGTCTGGAAGTGTCTGACGGTCAGTCTCACGAAGGTAACTGATCCTACTGGACCTCGGACATCTTCCCAGACATAGTGGGATACAACATCCACGCTACAGACACGGGCCTAGGCTATGCGACCTGTATGGATGAAGGACGGCACTCACTAACGGGTGACAACAACATCACGCTTCAGGGACGCGAAGACGTAAACAGATTCACCAGAGCATATCAACTACGTTACTGTAACACTTGCACAATCAACTATTAATTGGGTCAAATCACTTAAAGAAGGGCGAAGAATTACAACACAGCGTGAATGGCATACCTGTATGGATGAAGGGACGCAAGGCACTCACTACGGTAGAAACAGATTCGGGGCCCCTACTCAAAACAGACCAGGAGTCACCATTTCTATTCCGATGAATTAATTTACTGTACACTCTGGACGTTGGAAACTGGAGACTATGAACTCAGTTTCATTCCCTACTATTATCTTCTACTAACAATGCACTGACTCACAGCTATCGTGCTAAAATCAAATTGATTACAAAGGTTGAATGGCCACAGGTCCCAGCATACAGCGCCTGCTACTAAATCCGTGGATTATATTCAAAGTTCCCATAAGACAAAGACGGGGAAAACAGAGAAACGGGGACGTTTCCACTGAGGACCTGGTAGTTTGTGACGTTTGAGCGAGATGAATCCTTAAGGTTTTGTGTTAGCCGCTATCACGATCATTACAACTAAGACTTTGCAGTACCTGGGATTCCAATACATTCAACACCATAAAAACTTGTAATTAAATCCCATTTTTTACATTATTTTATCCTTATATATTGTTTAACATCACTTTATTTACATTATTATTTGTTATATATGGGATATTATTGTTGTTTTGTACGGAAGCAACCTAACCTAAACTATGTATCCAGGAATGTATCCCTGTTGTAAGTTGTACAGCCTGTATTAACATAAAACCATATATTCAGGCATAAAATTAATGATATTCAGAAACTACTTTTTAAAAACACCATTGCTAGATATACACATGCCAGTACTATTAGAAAGTTGTATATAAGAACAGCAAATATCTGTAACATTGCATGTTAATTTAACAAGTCTTCGCTTGGGATATGACTAAACAACAACTAATTTGAACTCCAGAGTTTGACATTTCAGCATTGCCACCGAAGAAAAAATGACTGTTCCAAGGATGAATTTATATATAACCAAGAAGAGTTACCTAACTAAGGTCCAAGATGCTAACTGAATAAATATATTATAAACATGATATTATATACAGTTAAGAGGTGTTAAAGTTCATCTGCCCCATACCAGGTACAGTAGAATTCTATGTACCAGACTACTGTAAAATATCGTTACAGAAAAATCGCGTAATAGAAATAAATAGGGCTTATGGAGAAAATAGGGTTCGTGCAGTTTACTCGAATTCCAAAAAAATTTAGTAGTTAGCCTAACACAAAGGATAGCACAGTTCAATAAAATGTTACATTCATATCTAATAATGAAATCATACAGTAAATTTAACACTTTACTTGAAAAAATATGAATGTAACTTGATGGGGAGAAGGGTGATTTGAGGTTGATAACATCAAGCTTCTTCAAGTGTTATATCCTTCTTCATTTATAATCACCGGAATTCTATCATCAGAATGCTTTTTGGAGATATTCTTCTTACTATATTCACAGTTAATACCTACAAAATTGGGAGAAATAGTACAAAAATCGCTAAGTATAGCAAAACAAGCGATCGCTGCTATAAATATTGTCTGAATTCATAAATCATATAGATAAATTCCATGTTATCAAAAAACACGCTATGAGAAGCAGAACTCACTTCGTACTATATATGAACCCTTAACCATTATTTACCAGACAATGGTACCATATATCTGTAAGTGATGAAAGCGAATATATTTAAAACATGAATCAAAAACTACCAACCATTTTAGTCAAGATAAAACATCAAAATATCTTGGGTTGTGAGTTGAGCAAAACTTATCAAATATTTACGTATTAATTTCAAATAGAGATTGAAGAGTTTCCGTGAGATAATGACAACACCTTGACAATAACAAATGGTCTACCACCACTGTACTACTTTACCAAGATGATTTACTACCCGTGTTAATGTACGTACTTGTGATAAAACTTACGTCACGTGTAAATAAAGACAGACGTACACAGTTGACACAACTACTGATGCACAAATTATAGTAAATGAGAGTTCATCAATGTTCAACAAAGCTTATCTAGTGAAGATGAAATTTTAAGCACAAAGATGATAAGTTTAACCTTTGCTTACTACTGTACTGTAAATAAAATTATTAAAAAGGCTGATGAAACAAAATGGAGTATTATTATGAGTGATATTTAACCAACACCAAATGTCTACACTAAGGCCATGATACAAGAAATTTACATCTTAAAAGCAGATAATTATAACTTGTGTTTAATATCTATAAAAGTGGCATTTGTCACTTGTCTTTATTTCAGCTCCATTCATAGAGTTTGTTCAAGTGGTTTTATATTGATGTACAGTATATCACAGTATTCAAGTATATGTGTCACATTTGCCTTCTGTTAAAGTGTCAATCATTTATTGAATTCTGTTTTGTTTTTCATGCACAAGTTTATGACATTTGAGTTTACCCTTCCGGGGGAAACATTTACCACATTCCTCACATTCAAACTCTCCTATTCCACTGTGTACAAGAATGTGATCCTTGAGGGTACTCTTTAGTGCAAAATGTTTCCCACATTCCTCACATTTAAACTTCTTTATATCACTGTGTCCAAGAATGTGTCTATTGAGAGCACCCTTCCGGGAGAAACATTTCCCACATTCCTCACATTCAAACTCCTTTATACCACTGTGTACAAGAATATGTTTATTGAGAGTACCCCTTTCTGCAAAATGTTTCCCACATTCCTCACATTTAAACTCCTTTATACCACTGTGTCCATGAATGTGTGTTTTGAGAGTACTCTTTAGTGCAAAATGCTTCCCACAATCCTCACATTTAAACTTCTTTATACCACTGTGTCCAAGAATGTGTCTGTTGAGAGCACCCTTCCGGGAGAAACATTTCCCACATTCCTCACATTCAAACTCTCCTATTCCACTGTGTACAAGAATGTGTTTATTGAGAGTACCCCTTTCTGCAAAATGTTTCCCACATTCCTCACATTCAAACTCCTTTATACCACTGTGACCAAGAATGTGTATCTTGAGAGTATTCTTCTGGGAGAAACATTTCCCACATTCCTCACATTCAAACTCCTTTGTACCACTGTGTACAAGAATGTGTGTCTTGAGCGTATTCTTCTGGGAGAAACATTTCCCACATTCCTCACATTCAAACTCCTTTATACCAATGTGTCCAAGAATGTGTCTCTTGAGAGTACCCTTCCGGGAGAAACATTTCCCACATTCCTCACATTTAAATTTCTTTACACCACTGTGTCCAACAATGTGTGTCTTCAGATTACCCTTTAGTGCAAAATGCTTCCCACATTCCTCACATTCAAACTTCTTTATACCACTGTGTCCAATAATATGTCTCTTGAGAGTACCCTTCTGGGAGAAACATTTCCCACATTCCTCACATTCAAACTCCTTTATACCACTGTGTACAAGAATGTGTGTCTCGAGAGTACTCTTTTGTGCAAAATTTTTCCCACATTCCTCACATTTATACTTCTTTATACCACTGTGTCCAAGAATGTGTGTCTTGAGATTACCCTTCAGTGCAAAATGTTTCCCACATTCCTCACATTCAAACTCCTTCATACCATTGTGCACAAGTAAATGTGTCTGAAGAGTAGACTTCAACCAAAACCGTTTGCCACATTCCTCACAGGAGAACTTTTTATCTCTGCTTGACATTGTGAACTTCTTCTTAGTTACACTTGGTCTTGAGATGGAACATCACAGTATCTGAAACGAAATATTTTGCCTTAGATAATATTCTTATAAAAAGTACAATTTATAAATGAAAACTACAAGTGACTAAATCAACTTGTGTAAAATGATAATATTCTAAAAGCAATTTCAAAGGTTTAATTACAGCTAATCAGGGTCTGTGACTAATCATCACCCAGTGACGGACTGACCTATCGGGAGTTTGGGCATATTGTGGATGGGTCGATGAGCCAGTGGGACAGGATATATCAGCCTGGGGTAGTCTGTGGCATGTTATATCAGCCTCCGATAGTCTGTGGCAGGTTATATCAACCTGGGGTAGTCTCTGGCAGGTTATATCAGCCTCGGATAGTCTGTGGCAGGTTATATCAACCTGGGGTAGTCTCTGGCAGGTTATATCAGCCTGGGGGAGTCTCTGGCAGGTTATATCAGCCTGGGGTAGTCTCTGGCAGGTTGTATCAGCCTGAGGTAGTCTCTGGCAGGTTATATCAGCCTGAGGTAACAATAATATACATACATTAATATATATGGAGTAAACAACTCTAAACAGTTGATATTAATGTAAAACAAAAGTGTGATGTTATACTGTCATCAGCTTTGTGTTGTCTGCTGTTGTGAGTTGTGTTGTGTAGCATCACACACAATGGGACAACTTAACACAACACAACATTTTACTTTACTTACTGTAAATTATTTTACTGCATCCAGTTGTTTAGTTAATATAGTTAAACATATTTGGGGTCACCTGAAGATTGGTCCCAGCTTATTTGACCTTAAGATTAACCACTGTAATGCTATCCTACCTTAACTTACTTAACCATACTTAACCTAATCTAACATGACTTAACCTAATCTAACATGACTTAACCTTACCTAACACGACCAACACAATATTGTATGGTAAAGGTGAAGGAGATGGTTAGCACCAGAAATAACTTATGGAATCGAACCAAAATTTCTGGAGACACTATTTACATGATATTGAACACGAAAATGGAGACGAAAATCGACAGAATCTAACAGAACTTGACCTAACGTAACTTTTAGCTTAATATGGCAGAGGGTCCGTCCCTCGGCAAGGATGTTAGGTAAGGTGAGGTCTGGTTCTGTGCATTCTCAATTCCGTTTTCAGGTTCAGTATCGTGTAAATGGTGTCTAGAAATTTTTGTTTAATTCTAGTTAGAGAAACACAATTCTAAACACTTAACTTACTGTTTGAAAACTATGTACCAGTGAAAGCATTTTTCTTGAAGCTGCATTGTGTATTTTTTTGTCTTTTATGCTCACATGAGTAAGACCTTTTGTTACACACTAATAAATATTTCTTGTTGAGTGTCAGTTCTCTGCCACATTTTGAACACTTAACATCCTGCCAACTAGTCCATGTTCACAGATGAACTCTTGTAGAAGGTCTTCATCCTCCACAAGGATAATTATCTTGTAATAAGACAATGAGCATCTGTCACAAGACGCCCTAACTATGGCTTGCTTGTCTCCTCTTGTGGTAGAACAATAAGTATAGGAACACACAGTTCACTTATTATCCAATGCTACTTGTAAGGTGCTGTAATGAATCAAATGGTATAATATGTGAATGGATTCCAACAATATGATCCTCATAACATATAAATAGAGTTGGTTTAAGATCCTATTGTGCGGGAAATACAAAATGTATAGGATCAGCGCAGGTCATAGACTCCTGACTCTAGATAGTGAAGTCCACTACCAAAAACAAAAACAATTAAACCTATTATATAAGGTAGATAAAGCCAGGATACGATTCACTGTCATTTGTTAACAATTTAAGTGAGAACAGAATCAGAACTTAACTGTTTACAATTGGACAACAACACGCGTCAACAAGACTGGACTGCCGGAGGAATATCTAAGGCAAATATTAAATTTCTTCAAATACAAAACATGTACAGACATCCATTAACTGTCATATGATCAGTTTTTCATCGTGTTTTATCACATAATTTCCCTCATCCTTCATGTCATGCTAACCTTCTCGTCCACCTTTACCCATAATATAATGTAATCAAACCTAACCTAACCTTAGCAGCTACCTCATAATATTTCACCTTAAAATATAAAGTTTTCTTACCTCGAGAAACATAATGTATGAGTAATGTGTTTTGTGTCACTTCACTTTTATAATTGTTAATGTCTTTATCGTTAACAATGGTTTGTTTGGTGTAGTGTTTTAACGCCACATTGTCCCTCATCTTTAAAGCCCTGTCACTAGTGTTAAAGTGGCCATATCTCCATAAATATCAACCTACCACTCAAATAAAGGTCATATTCCTTTATAACAAGATAAAAAACACATTAGTTAAATATTTCAGTAATCAATTTCCCGTTATGGCATAAAATGAATCTTTATCATTCCACATAGCAGGAAAGGTCATAGTTAAGGTAAAGAAGGTCATATATTTTTTCTACTGGTATTAGCCCACCTGGGCACAGGTCATTGACCCACATCAGGGCCTCGGGGGCGACGTATTATAATAATAATAATAATAATAATAATAATAATAATAATAATAATAATAATAATAATAATAATAATAATAATAATAATAATAATAATAATAATAATAAAATTAAAAAAATCAATCAATAGTGAGAAACGACAGTACTGTATGTATGTTGTGTTGTCAATAGTCAGAGAAACAATTGAGACCTGCAATTGTGTGTAAATGAGGCAGAGTCAGATCATCAACCTGGGACTTGGTCACATATAGCAGGAGGGTCTACCATTAGACAACACATTATGCTACCATTATCTTCCCAGGTGGTACTGCCTACTACCTAACACACCTACACTGTTAATAACTCACCAAACACTTGCTGTAATGTCCTGGAGGAGGAGAAATAAACTGTTTTACGAGAAGATTTACAAAAATATACAAGATGGTGAAACTTGTTGTTGTCAAGGAATATCCTATAAGGAAGTATAACTCTCCCTTACTGTATTAGATTCGCCAAAGGTAGACCCGTAGTGCCGCCTGGTGACTGAATGACTAACTTACCAAAGAAAACAGATATAATTGAGGATAAACTATTATTATTTATTGACCCTCATAGAAGAGGACCTCATGAACATTATACAAAACGTACGGTATAAAATACTTTACTTGAACTAAATAAAACTGTATAAACCATTATTAAAGAAGATATTGACAGGTGCTTTATGAAACTTACATTATAAGTAATGTAGTAGGCAATAGGCAGCTATCAAATAGAGAGGTACTGTACTACTGTCTGGGAAGATAATGGAAGCATAATGTGTTGTCTAATGGTAGACCCTGGGGCCATATGTGACCAAGTCCCAGGTTGATGATCTGACTCTCTGCCTCATTTACACACAATTGCAGGGACTCAATTGTTTCTCTTACTTTTAGATCACAACATACATATATTGCTTCTCAATATTGATTTTTTGGGGGGCTTATCCCTGTCATAAAAAATGGTAATTAAATGGAAATATTTAATATTTTACATTTTATTATCATATGGCTACTTATGAGCCCCTTAATCCACCCCACATAAATATGGGAGAGGTTTCTGTACCCCACATAAATATGGGAGAGGTTTCTGGACCCCATAATCCACCCCACCTAAATATGGGAGAGGTTTCTGTACCCCATAATCCACCCCACATAAATATGGGAGAGGTTTCTGGACCCCATAATCCACCCCACATAAATATGGGAGAGGTTTCTGGACCTCTTAATCCATGTAACATAAATATGGAGAGAGTTTCTGTACACACATATATGGGAGAGGTTTCTCCCCACATAAATATGGGAGAGGTTTCTGGACCCCTTAATCCACCCAACATAATTATGGGAGAGGTTTCTGTACCCCTTAATCCACCCCACATAAATATGGGAGAGGTTTCTGTACCCCTTAATCCACCCAACATAAATATGGGAGATAAATAAAGATGACAGACAGATAAATATTACTCTCATACATATAAGTCAATCTTAATGAAACTATTTTTCATCCTAATATTTTCATGTGAATAATAAAACAAAATTATAATAAACATTTTATTAACAATATTGGTATAAAAATTACATTAACCTTTGAATAATTTATCTTACTTTCATATATATTTTAAATGACAGCATCTTTTAATTTTTCCATTAGTGAGAAGCCAAGTAGTGTATATATTAGATCATTTAATGTTTTTATTATAGGTAATATTACATATATTATGTGTAGACCACCACAAGATAATGACCCACAAGCCTTGCCTGGCCACAACACTGAACCTGTGTCTTATGGGTTTGTAGTTGACAGCACTAACAAGTAACCCATGAGGCCTATTACAGTTGTCAGTGCATGTCAAGTGTTCACGGGGACCAGTGCTGGAAGACAAAGGATAGCCACCAACTCCTGCTTTTTATACTTGGTACAATTATTATTTACAAGGTAGATTCACAGGATAGATCCACACAGACAAAGACCATCCACACAGACCTAAACTCAACTGAGTTGTGTGAAGCAGCGAGACACACAGGTCTGGTCTACAGTGAGTCCTCCCGGTTCTCTCTACCTTCATTCCCTCCTCAACTCTCCCACCAAGCATTGTGGCTAATAACATCACAGTTACATTAATTCACAAATTATTACTGAGACAGTTACAACAAGTTACAATAAAAGACAATTAAGTAGATACCTCAAACTACTTCAATTAACATTAACATATAAGTTAATAATTGGAGTAACATCACAAGACCCCAAGTTTGGAACACCTTGTACAAGAAGCCAACTTCACACCCAACCACCATTATGTATTATATACAACAATTCACTATATACAACAAATTACACAGATTAGCATAACATGAATGTATGTTATACATTACCATAAGAACATACATTATATATTACACAGAGCCCTTGGGATGTACCTAGTAGCATCTGACAGTACAGTACATCACAGTTGGTAATGTACAGTACATGTTAGTACATCACAGTTGGTAATGTACAGTACATGTTAGTACATCACAGTTGGTAATGTACAGTACATGTTAGTACATCACAGTTGGTAATGTACAGTACATGTTAGTACATCACAGTTGGTAATGTACAGTACATGTTAGTACATCACAGTTGGTAATGTACAGTATGTGTTAGTACATCACAGTTGGTAATGTACAGTACATGTTGTTAGTATTACTCCAGTTGCAACACGTACCGTACATCTTAGGCTATCACAGTTCTTAATGGACACAGCACATGTTAGTACAGTTGGTACAGTACATGTTAGTACATCACAGTTGGTAATGTACAGTACATGTTAGTACATCACAGTTGGTAATGTACTGTA